CACGAACTTAAAATGTACTGGAAACAGTATATTTTGATAGTAACATATTCTAAAGAATAGTGCACTAGTACTGGATTATGGAAATTTCTCGACAAAGAACGCAATACACCGTTTCGTCTGAGACCAAATTTGCATCAGCAAACACCGGCCCTTGCTGCAAGTAGTTATGAGACCTTAGATATGAGTGACTTGGGCCTGATGAAGATGAGCTAACACCGTCCGATGTGAACGCGGATTGTGATAAAGGGCTCAAGCAGTACTTGATGAACGTTAAGAAGTCCGTCGTAAGAAAACGAAGCCGCTCGAACGGTGGAGGGACCACGTGATAGCGCATCTGATCTTAAGTAGTGTGTATTTTTAAATCTTCAGCACTTGAAGCTTTTATGTTTGTTCCGTAATTATACGAAGTAAAGGCTTCTAGGTCCTTAAAAAAAATTCTTCATACCATATATATGGTATCACATGAACGGAATGGTTCGGCATAGCGTATTCGGTGACGCTTTTAAAAACCCGATGATATCCCAGCCCCCAGCTTTCATTTACCAGTTTCGGATAAATTGTTTGTGTAGCATTCCATAATAATAAAAAAGGCTACTGGTACGAAACTTACCAAAAAGCCAAAAAGCCACACCGTACCTGTTGGAGTAATGGGAATCGTCAAACCGACACAAGGATTACTCCATCGGTGACTCACTGAGAGCGTGATGTTGAAGAGTTTAGAAAAGGAAATGCGCCATGTGTGTTGATCTGACCTGGTAAAATGCATGGAATGCTTTCTGCTTCTAGAGAGAGCTTATAGTGCTCTCTAGAATAGCTATCTGGTAAACACTAACGACCATACTGCAAGTCTATGGATAATGATGACCTTGGATTTCCGACTGTTAAGACGGCTAGAAGACAAAAAGGTTAGATGATGAACGTCACGCTCGCTCCAGCTATTGAAAGGTCGAACCTGCGCTGGTGATTAAAAGTAGGAGCATGGGATTCACTTACCACTAAAATAACAGCATTTTATGACCTTGCCGGCGTGGATCTCGATCCACCCGCCCGTTAGTTATTCATATTTGACCCGTAGTTTGCTACAACCAAACGACACGCTCGATGCATCAAAACTGTAATTCCCGCGGGAATTCTCGTCATCGGAAATGTCCCTTGTAATTCCATACCGCTTCACCGTTTTGTCACCATCCGGTCTCGCTGTTTTTGTGATGCGTCTCTCTGCCTGCGTGTTTGCGCAGATCTTATCCGAGAATGACACTTTAATTATACTAGCACTGAACCTGATAAATAGATCGATGTAGCTTACAAATACCTGATAATCATGTGGCATAGGAATGGTAGTGGCTATTCCCTCTGCTTTAGACTACACGTCGTGCGGGCAGAACAGATTGTTCCGTTCGAGTTACCAGCCATCTAGTCTGAGCGCTGGGGCTGCTCGCAGTGGACTGCCTTAGAGCTCACTCTTCAATTTCGACTGCCTCCAACAAGTCACTCCAGCTCAAGCAAGCTACTCCAATTACGACCAAGATGATGATCAGCAAGACGATCTATGCATTGTGTGCGGCAGCTGTGACGTTCTCTGGTGGTACAGTGGATGCGACGACGGAGGCGGCGGAGACGTTTGGCTGGCTATTACCGAAGAGCCACAACACTGGCTACGGAGGTGCTAGTGTCGGCACAGACGGATATGAAGGCGCGTCCGCGGAAATAAGTGGATACAGTATGGCGGACTGTCTTTTCTAAAGGCACTTGGCGGTCTCAAGGCTGGTGCTGGTGGCTACGGCGCTACGGGCGTGGATCTCAACGCAAATGCTGGTCTCGGTGCACTTGGTTACGGCAATGCCAACGCCGGCACCGGTCTCGATGCTCGTGCCGGCATCAACGCGAACGCAGGCCTCAAGGCGAATGCTGGACTTCAGGCTGGTGCTGGTCTCAATACCGGAGCGGGTCTTGACGCCAATGCAGGTTTGAAAGCGAACGCCGGACTCAACGCAGGTGCTGGACTTAATGCTGGTGCCGGTCTCAATGCTGGCGCCGGCCTCAGCGCTGGTGCTGGACTCAATGCTGGTGCCGGTCTAAAGGCTGGCGCCGGCCTCAATGCTGGTGCCGGTCTCAACGTTGGTGCTGGCCTCAGCGCTGGTGCGGGTCTTAACGCCAATGCAGGATTGAAAGCGAACGCCGGACTCAGCGCTGGTGCCGGACTCAACGCTGGTGCCGGCCTCAATGCTGGTGCCGGTCTCAACGTTGGTGCTGGCCTCAGCGCTGGTGTGGGTCTTAACGCCAATGCAGGATTGAAAGCGAACGCCGGAGTCAACGCTGGTGCCGGACTCAACGCTGGTGCCGGACTCAACGCTGGTGCCGGCCTCAATGCTGGTGCCGGTCTCAACGTTGGTGCTGGCCTCAGCGCTGGTGTGGGTCTTAACGCCAATGCAGGATTGAAAGCGAGCGCCGGACTCAACGCTGGTGCCGGCCTCAATGCTGGTGCCGGTCTCAAGGTTGGTGCTGGTCTCAACGCTGGTGCCGGTCTCAACGTTGGTGCTGGCCTCAGCGCCGGTGCGGGTCTTAACGCCAATGCAGGATTGAAAGCAAATGCCAGACTCAACGCTGGTGCCGGTCTCAAGGTTGGTGCCGGATTCAACGTTGGTGCTGGCCTCACCGCAGGTACGGGTCTTAACGCCAATGCAGGATTGAAAGCGAACAACGCTGGTGCCGGACTCAACGCTGGTGCCGGCCTCAATGCTGGTGCCGGTCTCAACGTTGGTGCTGGCCTCAATACCGGTGCGAGGTTTAACGCCAATGCAGGATTGAAAGCAAATGACGGACTCAACGCTGGTGCCGGTCTCAAGGTTGGTGCTGGTCTCATTGCTGGTGCCGGACTCAACGCTGGTCCCTGCCTCAACGCTAATGCCGGCCTCAGTGCTGGTGCCGGTCTCAACGCTGGTGCTAGTTTGAATACTGGTGCCGGCACAAGTGTGAAGAAGGGCACCAACACGGACAGCTACTCGAAGGGGACGAGTGCCATCGCTTCGTTAGCCCCAGAGAAGACAGCTAACCAAGCTTCTCAGATGGCTACTCAGACGTCCACGAAGCCCAGCACTTACCGCCACCTGCGCGCTTAAACTAGGAATGATGGTCATCCTTTCCAAGTCAGAAGAACGCCATCCATTACACTCGTCCGATGTGTCGAGACATTTACCGCTCCGTGCGATACCAGTCCAATGAATGCTTTGTAGTAGTCGTCATTTACGACTTTGAATGCTTTGTGAGTTCATGACGCGTTTTGTACGATCATTGTTCTTGTCACTAAATACCAGTCCAATGAATGTTTTGTAATAGTCGTCATTTACGATTTTAAATGCTATGTGAGTTCATTACACCTTTATTGCTCTTGTCATTTGAGTGATTGCTTCCGTACCCGACAGTAACCCCTCTAAGACAGCCTTCTGACAGGAACTTATATATTCCATTATTATTTTACGGATATTGAAACACCAGGTTTTAAACCAAAACTCAATACCAATTAACCCCTTGAACGCGAAGGTTTTCCAGTGCACCCATTTACCGAAACCCTTTCGACGTTAACGTGTATGTCGGGGAAGGGTTTTAATAGTTAGACTGGTATAAAATTAATCCTGTAGGATGGTTAAACGCATTGAACCCCAACACCTAGGATGGTGAAAATTTGATATCGTGTATCCTACAAGAATATTTGACTTTGAAATACACTATACCAAGATATCGTGTCCAGGAACGAAAAAAAACTGCTCACAGCCCAGCGCACTTTTCTCCTAAATATAGACTTCAAGTTCAGGTAAAAAGGGAGATACAGATTTCATACTTTTATCAAGACATTTAAGATCGCAAAATCATCTGCTTATGGTGTCGCAGCGTCGTTGTGACGTCTCTTTGACGGCCTACTGGTGTCATCATCCCCGCTGTCACCACTCGCAGACTTTGCTTCTTCGACACTATCGGCTGCTGGCCTGTGCACGCGGATCTTTCGCTTTCTCTGTGACGGCGGCAACAGGCTGCCGTTACACCAATGCTTGTGCCAAATCTCGAAGCACGAAACGGACTCACCGTTGTTTACATGCTTGACCTTGTTGCACAGGTACACACACGACGCCAGTGGCTGCTTTGAGCTTGTTCATCTTCAGCAGTTGTCGGATCAACTTCGCCATCGAATGCAACTGTTACTTCACGAAGGTTGTCAGCAGATACGCTAGCAACTTTAGTTGCAGTAGTTACAACATAAGTAACTTTAGTGGAGATAGTGTGACCAGCAGCGTCTTGAACT